ATACTGACTTCTGTTACTGAAAAAAACGTAAAGAATGAAGAAGTAATATTTCTAAAATTATGAAGATGATACAAGAAGATAAATGTTCAACTCCAAAATGAGTGTAAAACAACGCACTACTTTCCTATAAAAAAAAAAAAAAAAAAAAAATCAAAAATATGATTTATCATATTTCTTTCTTATAGTCTTCATTTTCTAATTTTGCCCACTTTATCAAAAAAGTCTGATTAAACCGATTGAATCGATGTGTTCTATCTGGTCCACTTTTTCTATAATACGTTCCAAATCCACCTCTAGTATCGACCGTTCCTAATCCACCAATTCTATTCACAGTTTAAAAATATTCAATGCATATTTAACGTTAAATGAACATCGATTAATGTATCGAAATATTCCTTTCCACGTGATTTAAGTAACTAACAGCGTAAATATGTTTTGACAGTCCTCCGCTCAGCAGATCCAACAAGGATCGACAACCGTAGCAGATAATATAATCGATGTTACATAAGAAAGTATATATTGATATGTTGAAAATTACTACTCGTCAAAGTGATGTAGATGTTACATAGATGAAGAATATTCTAGCAAACACCATGATATATCACATTTAAGGTGAACGTCCCACGTTCTTACGAAGAATAATATCGCTTCAGAATTAAGACGAATGATTTGCATCCCTTGCATTACATTGACAGAAATGTTTCAAATAAGCCAAGTTATTTAATTGACAAGAAAATAGCAGGACTCGTCCCTTAGAATATTGCGATGCAGCAAACTTTTACATCGATAGATCTTTTCGAGAAAGATTCACCTTTGAACTAGGGAATATATAATATAAAAGAAAGAGAATGCTCGATTGAATCGTTACGTAGAAATTTTCTGCGAGATGAAATTCAAATGTTACGTGTAATTGCAAGCACAATTGTCGAAGCATGCTGTACAGCAGATTAATCGCTGTTGGTCAAATACGTACAAAAACCAACCATGAGGAAATGTGTTACGAGAATGTATGTCCCTTAGAATATTGTGATGCAGCAAACTTTTACATCGATATTACTTTATTTGAAACATTTCTTTCGTACTTGTAAAGATCTTTTCGAGAAAGATTCACCTTTCAACTAGGGAATATATAAGAAAAAGAATGCTCGTTTGAATCGTTACGTAGAAATTTTCTGCGAGATGAAATTCAAACGTTACGTGTAATTGCAAGCACAATTGTCGAAGCATGCTGTACAGCAGATTAATCGCTGTTGGTCAAATACGTACAAAAACCAACTATGAGGAAAGGTGTTACGAGAATGTATGTACAATTAAAATCTAGTTAGCCGCGCAATAATGCACTCGTATGTGGTTATCGAATACGTGTAACCGCGTATAAAAATGGTATCAAAGATTATTGTCAGTGTTCTGTATTATATGTCTTCTAATATAAAATATTTGTCATGAAAAAAATGGTGATTTCTCCAATGGCAATTAACGTTCCACTATATACAATTAACGTCGTAAAATGAGCCATATCTTTGTTGTTTGACCGATATCTTTGACAACAATGCCTCGGAAATATACGGTTTTTTTAAGTACCTCGAGTTTCACGTATCGATGCTTGATTAAAGGAGTCGTTAATAATACGACAGAGGTTTACGAGCAAACACGGAAGTATCAGTCCATATAAAAGGGTAAACTTTACACTTGAAAGATTCAGAAGGAATTCTATAGTCCAAGTGAAAACGTGCAGCATGTTCGTCAAGCTAATTCTGATCGTTTCGATGTTCAGCTTTGTCTGTGTACAAAGCATCGAGAACAAAGCTCAGCAGTTATCGTTACTCGCTGAAACTAATCCTGATACCAGCCTGGACACTGATGCGGCCGTAATTATCTCATCTATTTCTCACGTAATTTACTTATAAAAGAAACCTAAATTCGTAAAGATTTCTTTCTAAAAATTCCCATTTCAACGATGAAGATTGATGCAACAATATAAATTGCAGGAAGAACGAGGGCACGCTCTTCGAGTATCTACAACAAACAAGAGCCCGGTTATAACAACGGGCGATGAATATGTAATGATACATTCGAAATTGACAAATCCCAAGAAAAGGGCGACAGATTATAAGGAACATCGTGAAACCGATTTACGACCTGGATGTTGCGGTTAAACCATCAAACGAACTATTCAACAACAAATTCTGCCTTTAAAAAGTATTTGCGTATTCGAAATGGTAAATAACAATATCTGCATATTATGAATATGTTTTATCTCTTTAGTTTCTTCACGATGAAATAGCAAACGAAATAAAAAAAAAATGGCTATCGAGCCGCACAAAGATAACTCTTTCTCCTATTATACCTACTTATACATTAATTAGTTATATTAAAGCCTACACGATGTTACATACAAGCCTAAGCTCATAGTATAAGCCTTTCAGGAAATATAAGAAAGGTAAAAATAAAGTACTTCATATGGAAAACTTTTATTAACATCATGTACTTGTTACATGACTCACAAGCACTGCTTATGAACAATCGCGACTTCTAACGTTGAATTATCCTAACCCATAGATACACAATAAACCAGTGCAATACCGTTGCATTTATTACATCGTAATTAAAATCACTAACCTTCATGGAAGGATAAGGACGTAAATAGAAAAAGATCCAGTTTTATTTTCTTCTCTTTTTGGCATATCGACAGACAAAGACGATACGCTACAATCAAAATCACCAATGTGTCGCTTAAATAATTAAATAATTGTATCACGAATGCAGTACGTGTTCAAAGTCATCGTTGTGCTAACATACGAAACAATATCGTAAAAATTGTTCATACCAAATGAAATATCAAATTTCCGAGGAATGCCGTTTATTATTTGTGACGTTGCGGGTCGAACGAATAGTCGAACGAATAAACAATAAGAAAAAGAAAAAAAAAAAAGGAGAAAAAATCCTGAAATTGAAAAAGAATTCAGTTCATATTCCGTAATCAAATTGGAACACTTGATGGACGTGCGGAGAATCGCCCGAGCACACAGCCGACACGCGATCAATATACGCATATTTAATTTGTACAAATTCTTAATAATTACAGGTACTGTACCAACAAGTTGCAACATGAACTCAATACTGTTATCTGTTCTGCTTTGAAAGAATAACTTTCCAGGCAGACATCGGTCTTGTTTGTAACAGATCTATTTTCCTTCGACCCCACCTGAGCCAAGCAAATCCTATGATTAGACATAAGATACTCTCTATGTAGTATCCGTCAAGTTGCATATTGCAAACACCATTGTGCGTGTTCGTGCAGAGCTGAAAACGAAAGAATTTTATACTTTTAAGTTTTTAATCACTTTTTAACCTTTAAATGAGTTAAACAATCATTTATGACAAAACAAAACAGTGAGATAAAACACCAACCTCCCTTTCCGAAATTGTGCTACAGTCATTCAACGGATCGGTGCTGCATCGTCGATATGTTAATGAATCAACGAACCAAAGAGCTGCTGTTGCTGGCCAGTTGCCTCCGAGATTAGCTAACGTATTTAATAATGTCATGTAAGTACCACCAACTGCTGGATCACTGATTTTTGCAAAATACGCCATCGATGCCACAAACATACTACTTGTGAAAACCTGTGACAAGTGATATAAATATTTTTATTCTCCCTTATCATTGTTATTCCTTTTACCGTTCGTTTCCTCTCAATACTTCACCTGATGTATCAAATACAGAATAATTAAAACTATGAAGTAATAGGCTGGAACATGTCCTCCTGTTACGACATATGGTGTCACCCATACCAAAAATGCTGCTACTAATCCAAAAGCCAGTCTAGACGACCGATTAAAAATATTTATTATAAGCCCATTTAATATATTTTATTTTATATATTTGTTTTCTAATCACCTATAAGGCATAGCCTTTATGTATACATCCATAGGCCTTGGGCCTACTGTATACTTTGATATTGCTAATGGTAACAATATTTGTAGTGGTATCATAGGCACAGCCATAAGTGCAAACGTTTCTTTTGGTATACCAGCCTCTACCAATTTTAAACCAGTTACAGCATCACAAGCAGAAAATCCTATCTACAATCAATTAAATTGTTATTAATGATTATCAAATGTAAATCTTATATTATGTATCTACAGACCTTGACAGTTAGCAAGAATATAATAATCGTTTTTATAGATGGTAATTTGACAATGTTCCATAGTAATTTGTATGCATGCTTAATATTTGTATTCAATTCTTCATCTTTGTGCATTTTCTCCGAATCCTCGCGTTTAAACAAAGCAAGTAAAGTGGTAATAATTATAAATACCCAACCCCAGAAATAAAGAAAATCTATAAGAAAAAATTGCAAATCATGACTGTGTTTATATCAACCTTTATAAGTTAAAGCTCAAACTACTTTACCAGGTAGAGTCAAAATGCCTTCACTAGAAGGAGTGGATCTTAAATAATTATTACAAAATTCAGGAGATTCCAATGCCATAAAAAGCACATAACCAATAAAATATCCGGCAGTTTGTCCCACACTGTTGCAAGTTGACGCATATCCAACGTTACATCTATATGTACAGCACCACAAAAGAGACTTGTATTAACACTACTATTAATTTGTATAGTCTCATGGTTATAATAATCTACATATACCTCTTTAACATGGTCAATGCCCACCCATCAACTACAATATCTTGAGTAGCAGCCAAAACATTTAAGGCAAAAAATATTATGGTCAACATTTCTATGTTCGGCTTCATCGTTCTGCTCCCTAACCATCGATCTACATGGCTTGACAATAACAGCATAAAAAGTCCCATTAAATATTGAGTTGGAATTAACCACGTTTTCCTCCTTCCAAACTTTTGTGAAAACACAGAGTCCACTATAGGTGCCCAAAACAGTTTCAAAGAAAAAGGCCATTGCACGAAGCTAAATTCAGCCTGATGATTGAAAATAAAATTCATGTAATATCATTTCTATTATTTAAGGTGGTTCCAATGTAAACGCAAAGTACCTGCTGGCGATATGAAACATCTCTATTCTGAAGTAACATAGGAATAGAACTGCACAAACCCAATGGTATCCCTTGTAACAGATATAAAAATAGAAGAGTGGCTATGTTCTTTTCATCGCCTCGCAAGTCCGAACGTTCATGTACATGATGTGACTCGTGGGCTCCATCTTCCACGTCATTCTTATCCATTTTCCTTCTAGTACCCATGAAGAATGATATAAGAGATCAACAATAATCTCATTCACCTTAATTCTTTAATATCCGCCGATGTTTCTTTTCGCGCGAGCGTCGACTCTGGTTTTTAACGCTTACTTTTAACGTTATCAAACATCTCGTGGATTATGTGCATATATTAATTATCGATATATTATTCCAAAATGCTTCAATGTACGTCCTTTGATCAAAAAACACACAAACATTTCTAAATGGAAGAGTCACTCACGCAATAAAATGAATTATTTATCTTGTGACAGATGTATCACCATTGACGTGGTCATTGCCAATATAACCTCAATTCTGTATACAAAAAACGGTATTGCGCGTCTACGAGATATTGACAGACAAGATTCTGATATAAAATAAATGTTTCCAAGCGTTTTACATTGACATCACGAACAACAGCTGCTAAACGGCATCTCAAATTGTTTCGTTTTCATCGACTCAGCCAAGAATTACATAGAAAAGCTCGTAAATGCCACGTTGTTTCTCATTAAGGACACGTCAGTTATGTTTCGTCTTTTTCAATCTTAAAGCCACGTGTGAACCATTTCTTACTAAAACTAACGATTCAATAGAGAAGCAAAATGTACACACGATGAATAAGTTTATTTGAGCGAATCGTCAATGCATTGGCTCACATAGAAACCCGCCTTTCATTACATCCGACATTTCCGCGTACAATAGTAAATTGTTCTTTTAAGTACATAATAAAAGTAGGATTAGAACACTATTGTTTAAGAGGATGGCGTTATTTAAACGTAACATCATATAAACATTTAAATAGTAAGATATTTAAAGTTATTCAATATAGGAATTTCATAGTATCGTAGATTGTGCTTGGCGGGGATAACTACGCGCATGAATGATGTCCCCCCACTAGTAATTACAAGTAGTGAAGATGCGCATATTTCGGTTCCATTTGGAAGATTTGATCAGAGTAGCCTGCGGGCCCCATTGAGGAGTTGAGGTATTTTATTTATCTTTATTTTCTTAGTTTCGTTAACTTTATATTTTGTACTATTTCTTATCTTTGTATTATTTTCGTATTCTTTTACTTTCTCGTGCGGTTTCTTCCTTTCAATGGCAAGAAGAGGAAATTAGTGTAATAATCAACAGCACAACAGCACTACGCATCAGCATAACGTTTCGCATTTTTTATTCCTTTACCGTTTAGTATCCTTAAGCGAATGTCAGATTACAATTACAAATTCTTCTCTCTAAACTCTAGAATTTAAAAACATTTGAACTTTTGGTCCTTCTGTTTTTTAGAAATGTACAAGTGAATGTGCTGCAATTTTCCCCACTCGAAGCAACAATCGTTGCTGCTTTCACTAATCTTTTAATCCGTGCATTCACAAATTCCTCGTTAGGTACATTGTTTAGAAGTCTGTAACGATATTAGAATTGTTAGAATATTTCCTGTATGTTATTGTAATAATAAAAAGTAAAAATTATATACAAATTGTTCAGATGACGTTCTAGCGCTGATCTTTCTTTGAGAAAGTTAGCATCCTTCTTACGATTGATCCAGTAATTCTTTTGGATTTCACACGTGAGTCTGGCGACACATGTTGGTGAGACAGATATTTTGTTTCCATCTTTATCGTCCCACTACGATAGCATAAAAATTAAAATTTTTAATTAGGATCAATGAATGAAAAGTTACAATAGAGGACTGTCCAACTATGGAAAAAGACAAGTGTAAAAAAAAATATAAAAAAAAGTTTTTTTGTACCTTTGAGTAGTTGATTTAATACAAAATTACAACAAAGTACAATATATAGTTCTCTATTTATAATATATCCCTCTCAATTACAAATACTTCTAGTCATGTAACAAACTTCTATCTAAGGTTCATTTTTCCATTCACATTCTATAAAAATTTGCAAGAACATCTTCAGACTATTTATATCGGTTTGCCATGAATTGATTCTTCAAAACCAACAGATATAATCTTTCTCAATAGTTGAGCAGAACGTCGCTCAAATACGACTAAACAACCTTGGTAACGTTACTTTTCAAGTTCATTAAAATGTAATTTATATAAGCATCTCTGTCTTTAATGGACACGTTCGATCGTTTTCTTCTGCCTGACACAACTCCGAGCGGAAGAAGAACGGGATTCGTTGCTAAAGCTGCGGCTGCTCCAATTAGTGCAACACCTGCTAATGCTTTTAAAGCGACCGCCTATTACAAATAATAGTAATTAATAACGTGTTAAAAAATACGGTGAAAAATTTGATTTTCCAAATATAATCTTATGATTTCCTTGAAAGATGTATTTTATATCTTCTATTTGTTTTGCTCTTTGATCTATCACAAGTTTTGAAGTTTTCTGCGCAATATAAATTCTGCAGAAAAATTCAAAATCCAATAGTACCTAACATCGATTGTACATAATTTCAGAAAGTTTGAAATGAATTGACAATATTATTGTCAAGCTGTAATAACGATATTATCATCGGTATTATATTTCCCTGGGAGGTGGACTCCTTCAAAATCAGATTTCGATCCATCTCTTAGAACCATTACCTTCTGCGCGTTAATGCTCGAATGGGAAGGAGTATGTCCCTCTGGACGATTTGGCTCCACAGGTCCGAATTCATCGCCATTAGCGAAAGTTCCTGAAATTCCATAACCACCGGTAGACCCTCCGTACCCAGTTGGTCGGTTAAAACTATACCCTCCAAAACCACTGTTAGCATAACCATATCCTCCAGACACGCTGGAATCATAACCACCGGGTTTGCGTGAACCTTCGTTTCCATAGCTCGGTCGTGAACCAAATCTAATAGTCATACGAAATCGAGTTAGAGATTTAAACTGTTACTGCGAGATTGAAAGGTACAAGCGTTGTTAAATCAATGCAAATGAAATCGTCGTTTCTGTGAATTGCGTGTCTTACTGTCGAACTAAACTAAAAAATAAATATACTAATATCATATTTAAATAATTTAGATATATTTTCTCAGAGATTCTTGTAATTAAAATATAAATTATTTGAAAAAAAAAAAAAATTAAATCGGAAAGTTGTAAGAGTTTCATTTGAAGAAAATTAAAAAATTTTAAAGCAAACATTCTTGAAACTTATTGCTAGGATTTTACTCTGCTGAATCATGTGGAATTTATGTTAATTGACCTTTGACAGTGTAGCTCGAGAGAGACTATCGTCAACTATACTAATACATTCCATATGTTATATATTTCATATCATACGATTATTAATTTGAATTTCAAATATTGTACTTTTCACGTGTTAACTTATTTATTATAACATTTTTTTATTTTCATTATTTTGCTTACTCGTATAACGAAATACAAATTTAATCAAATAAGATAATAATCGTCACCAATGATCGACAAATTATTTCTTAAATACTTTATTTAAATAATTTGTTGCCTGTATAAACTTAGATCGCAATAAAGTCAAATCATGTTTTGAAAAAATGAAAAAAATCTTGATCTTTCATTTGGAAGAACGACATTTCACGTGCACAAGCCTAATGATTGCTCACCTATCTCCTGCTTGACTTCCTTCGTAAAACGCAGTTCCAGCGTAATTCCCACTTCCGGGTCTTCCGATGCTTCCCGATGATGATCCTTGAGTTTGCCAACCGTATCTGCATTAAAAAATTCTTATAAACCGTATTTGCATTTTAAATATGTTATATCGTGTTCTATATGTTACGTGATATATTTCTAAGAAATTAAATGTTTCAATTTAAAAAAAAAAAAATCACCTATCGAAGGGCAAACGTTCGCCAAACTTGGTTGGATGTCGACCGCTGTCCACAGGGATCCTACTGTAATGGGAATCGGGTCGCGTTGACGAATTGGAACCGTATCTGGATCCGCAGCAACTGGAACTTGCACGTTTCAATATCATCGTCATGCAAATGTTTCAAAGATCGTCAAGATCATTTCAAAATACTCGACTTATCTCTCGAGTCGGATTCCGTTCGATGGCCGATCGTTCGTGAATGCTTATCCATGCTCTTCTCGTGTCCCGATTGCTCGCCATCCGGCACTATACTGTTCAAATGTGACGTCTTGGAAGAATTTCTGCCGTGTACAACGTTCGACGAGGGTTTGTCCTCCGTAGTAGACTGTTTCTTAACGAATTCAGGAACTGCGGCGAACTCATTATTCTCCGCGAGTGTACAGCAAACAACGCTGGCGGTTAACAAAGCGCAAACGAATCGTCGCGACATAATGAAAAATCTAATTAGGCGAGAATTCACCGAGAGGGAGGAAATTTTTTTTTTTTTTTTTTTTTTAGACACGTTCTAACGTAAAGACCAAAGGAATATAAGTAACTCTTTCCACGAGTTTCACCTTTTTATATAGTGGCCACGCATGGAGTATTGTCACGCATTTGTCCTTCAGGACTGGCAAGCCTC